ACGAGCTCGGTGCCAGAATGGATTAAACTCGTTAATCGAGGTGCCACTGTACTCTCATAACCCCCAGTGTACCTTCTTGTAAATAAATAAATAATAAATTAAATAATAATAATAATAAATCAGATATAAATATAAACCATAAATAAAATAAGAACATTTAAATGCACTTTACTTTTACTGAGGACTCTTGTTTGCATATGGTAGATGGTGAGGAGGGAGAGAGGGAGGTGGGATGTTGATGTATGGAGAGGGTGAGGAGGAACAGGGAGGTGGTGAGACCATTCTCTGCTCGCCTTAAACTCTTTCATATCTGCATCACCAGTTCCAGATTTTCCTTTCACACATTTCACTGCATGTTATGTGACAGCCAGTCAGAACCAGTCACTTGGTCAGATGTCAGTCAAGTATTCAGTCAAGACCAGTCACAGGCAGTCATAATCAAAGGCAGTCAAGCACTCACTGTTGTGGTAGCAACCAGTTAGGCATTTATGGTCAGTCAAGCATTTACAGTCAATCAATTTATCACAGCCAATCTGGCTTACACAGTCAATCAGGCTTTTATAGTTGCAACCAGCAGTTAGCAAACAATAAGTTTAATTTCAGGCACTCGGGGAAATCTGCTTTCTGATCTATCACAAGGAAGCCCACCGTTTTAATACTGTACCGTCCATATGGCTGGGAGGGGAACAGCTTCGGGGGGGGGGGGGGGGGGGCAAATGTGGGGGGTGAGGAAATGGAGGTAGCAGGGAGGGTGCAGGATGGGTAGGATGGAGGTAGTGGGGAGGGTGTGGGATGGAGGGTGTGGGATGGAGGGTGTGGGATGGAGGGTGGGGGTAGCGGGGGAGGGACCGGTGTGTGGGATGGGGGGTCTTTGGGAGGGACTGGGGGTGACCAGTGCCTGTGTTAGTCCTAGCTTGTACACTCACGCCACTGCCAACTTCTACCCACCCACTCACTCTTACCACCCATCCTGCTACTCATCTGCTCACCCATTGTCTCCTGACCGCCCTGCTACCCACCCACTCGGTGCCCGCCCTGCTACCCATCTCCTTAGTCTACCATCTGTCACCCACCTTAGTCTACCAACAGCCACCCACCTCCATAGTCTACCATCTGCCACCCACCTTAGTCTACCATCTGCCACCCACCTCCTTAGTCTACCAACAGCCACCCACCTCCATAGTCTACCATTTGCCACCCACCTCCTTAGTCTACCATCTGCTACCCACCTCCTTAGTCTACCATCTGCCACCCACCTCTTTAGTCTACCATCTGCCACCCACCTCCTTAGTCTACCATCTGCCACCCACCTTAGTCTACCAACAGCCACCCACCTCTTTAGTCTACCATCTGCCACCTACTTGTTCTGTTCCATCCGCCCTGCTACTCATCCATCCACTATCACCTGCCTACCCACTCACACTCCACATGTTCTTTTCTTACATGATTATAGGGCTGGTGTTTCTAAAAGATTTTGTTTTCTGTTGCCATCCCCTCCCACAACTAGCCTCCCTGTCCCTCTCACCAGCCATCCATCTGGTCCCCCCTCACCATCCATCAATCCAGTTCCCTCACCATCCATCCATCCAGTCCCCTCACCATCCATCTATCCAGTCCTCTCACCACCCATCCAGCCCCCCTCCCCACCGTCCATCTTGTTGTCCTCCCAAATACAATATTCGAGTGTGATTGTCACTAGGCGGGCAAACACACTGGTAAACTGAAGTGTGGTCACCCCATGCCATCAGGAACCATGCACTCAGTCGACCCTCACTTGTATCAACAAAGTTGCAAATCGAGGCAAAGGTCATAACTCGAAAAAAAAAATTCTGACAAAACTGGGGTCGTAACTCAAAAATTCATAAGTAGGGGCAGTCGTAAGTCGAGGTTCCACTGTATTTGTTAGGTGTTGTGGTGCATGGGGTTAACGCTGTACCTGTGGCAGGTGTTGTGGTGCATGGGGTTAACACTGTACCTGTGGCAGGTGTTGTGGTGCAAGGATTAACACTGTACCTGTGGCAGGTGTTGTGGTGCAAGGATTAACACTGTACCTGTGGCAGGTGTTGTGGTGCAGGGATTAACACTATACCTGTGGCAGGTGTTGGGGTGCAAGGATTAACACTGTACCTGTGGCAGGTGTTGTGGTTTAAGTATTAACACTGTACCAGTGGCAAGTGTGAGGTGCAAGGATTAATACTGTACCTGTGGCAGGTGTTGTGGTGCAAGGATTAACACTATACCTATGGCAGGTGTTGTGGTGCAAGGATTAACACTATACCTATGGCAGGTGTTGTGGTGCAAGGATTAACACAGTACCTGTGGCAGGTGTTGAGGTGCAAGGATTAACACTGTACCTGTGGCAGGTGTTGTGGTGCAAGGATTAACACTATACCTGTTGCAGGTTTTGTGGTGCAAGGATTAACACTCTACCTGTGGCAGGTGTTGTGGTGCAGGGATTAACACTGTACCTGTGACAGATGTTGTGGTGCAATGATTAACACTGTACCTGTGGCAGGTGTTGTGGTGCAAGGATTAACACTGTACCTGTGGCAGGTGTTGTGGTGCAAGGATTAACACTGTACCTGTGGCAGGTGTTGTGGTGCAAGGATTAACACTGTACCTGTGGCAGGTGTTGTGGTGCAAGGATTAACACTGTACCTGTGGCAGGTGTTGTGGTGCAAGGATTAACACTGTACCTGTGGCAGGTGTTGTGGTGCAAGGATTAACACTGTACCTGTGGCAGGTGTTGTGGTGCAAGGATTAACACTGTACCTGTGGCAGGTGTTGTGGTGCAAGGATTAACACTGTACCTGTGGCAGGTGTTGTGGTGCAAGGATTAACACTGTACCTGTGGCAGGTGTTGTGGTGCAAGGATTAACACTGTACCTGTGGCAGGTGTTGTGGTGCAAGGATTAACACTGTACCTGTGGCAGGTGTTGTGGTGCAAGGATTAACACTGTACCTGTGGCAGGTGTTGTGGTGCAAGGATTAACACTGTACCTGTGGCAGGTGTTGTGGTGCAAGGATTAACACTGTACCTGTGGCAGGTGTTGTGGTGCAAGGATTAACACTGTACCTGTGGCAGGTGTTGTGGTGCAAGGATTAACACTGTACCTGTGGCAGGTGTTGTGGTGCAAGGATTAACACTGTACCTGTGGCAGGTGTTGTGGTGCAAGGATTAACACTGTACCTGTGGCAGGTGTTGTGGTGCAAGGATTAACACTGTACCTGTGGCAGGTGTTGTGGTGCAAGGATTAACACTGTACCTGTGGCAGGTGTTGTGGTGCAAGGATTAACACTGTACCTGTGGCAGGTGTTGTGGTGCAAGGATTAACACTGTACCTGTGGCAGGTGTTGTGGTGCAAGGATTAACACTGTACCTGTGGCAGGTGTTGTGGTGCAAGGATTAACACTGTACCTGTGGCAGGTGTTGTGGTGCAAGGATTAACACTGTACCTGTGGCAGGTGTTGTGGTGCAAGGATTAACACTGTACCTGTGGCAGGTGTTGTGGTGCAAGGATTAACACTGTACCTGTGGCAGGTGTTGTGGTGCAAGGATTAACACTGTACCTGTGGCAGGTGTTGTGGTGCAAGGATTAACACTGTACCTGTGGCAGGTGTTGTGGTGCAAGGATTAACACTGTACCTGTGGCAGGTGTTGTGGTGCAAGGATTAACACTGTACCTGTGGCAGGTGTTGTGGTGCAGGGATTAACACTGTACCTGTGGCAGGTGTTGTGGTGCAAGGATTAACACTGTACCTGTGGCAGGTGTTGTGGTGCAGGGATTAACACTGTATCTGTGGCAGGTGTTGTGGTGCAGGGATTAACACTGTACCTGTGACAGATGTTGTGGTGCAAGGATTAACACTGTACCTGTGGCAGGTGTTGTGGTGCAAGGATTAACACTGTACCTGTGGCAGGTGTTGTGGTGCAAGGATTAACACTGTACCTGTGGCAGGTGTTGTGGTGCAAGGATTAACACTGTACCTGTGGCAGGTGTTGTGGTGCAAGGATTAACACTGTACCTGTGGCAGGTGTTGTGGTGCAAGGATTAACACTGTACCTGTGGCAGGTGTTGTGGTGCAAGGATTAACACTGTACCTGTGGCAGGTGTTGTGGTGCAAGGATTAACACTGTACCTGTGGCAGGTGTTGTGGTGCAAGGATTAACACTGTACCTGTGGCAGGTGTTGTGGTGCAAGGATTAACACTGTACCTGTGGCAGGTGTTGTGGTGCAAGGATTAACACTGTACCTGTGGCAGGTGTTGTGGTGCAAGGATTAACACTGTACCTGTGGCAGGTGTTGTGGTGCAAGGATTAACACTGTACCTGTGGCAGGTGTTGTGGTGCAAGGATTAACACTGTACCTGTGGCAGGTGTTGTGGTGCAAGGATTAACACTGTACCTGTGGCAGGTGTTGTGGTGCAAGGATTAACACTGTACCTGTGGCAGGTGTTGTGGTGCAAGGATTAACACTGTACCTGTGGCAGGTGTTGTGGTGCAAGGATTAACACTGTACCTGTGGCAGGTGTTGTGGTGCAAGGATTAACACTGTACCTGTGGCAGGTGTTGTGGTGCAAGGATTAACACTGTACCTGTGGCAGGTGTTGTGGTGCAAGGATTAACACTGTACCTGTACAAAACACAACTAGTAAACCTGTGGCAGGTGTTGTGGTGCAGGGATTAACACTGTACCTGTGGCAGGTGTTGTGGTGCAGGGATTAACACTGTACCTGTGGCAGGTCTTGTGGTGCAGGGATTAACACTGTACCTGTGGCAGGTGTTGTGGTGTAGGGATTAACGCTGTACCTGTGGCAGGTGTTGTGGCGCAGGGATTAACACTGTACCTGTGGCAGGTCTTGTGGTGCAAGGATTAACACTGTACCTGTGGCAGGTGTTGTGGTGCAAGGATTAACACTGTACCTGTGGCAGGTGTTGTGGTGCAAGGATTAACACTGTACCTGTGGCAGGTGTTGTGGTGCAAGGATTAACACTGTACCTGTGGCAGGTGTTGTGGTGCAAGGATTAACAAGGGCGATGTTCCGCCCCCCGCCATTGTATCAGCTGATCTTCACCAACAATAACAATTTGTCGAGAACATTAATAATGGGTTAAAAAGATTTTTAGATATATAGAAATATATTGTGTTTTGAAAATATATGATGTATTTTTTTTGTAAATAGAAAATAAATAGTTTTATAGATCAATATTGGTTGTAAGTACAGTAATTGGAGAAGTAAAATACACCAGCTATTGAATATGAAATTTCATCAGCCCTAGTTTAGAAGCTGCTATATCATTTTTTATTTATTGATGTCATTTTTGGGGGTTTTTGTCACTGTTTATTTCATAGTTGTTAAGTTTTTGTTATAGTTTTCATAGCGAGATTGCACGTGTGTATACATACTGTGAAAATATCTGCTTCTAAATAATATTCAAAAGTTCTGATTTTGAAAGGATTTTCTCATATGATTAACTTTATATATATATATATATATATATATATATATATATATATATATATATATATATATATATATATATATATATATATATATATATATATATATATATATATATATATAAACACTGAAGGTTTTTAATAGTATTTTACAACGAAAACAGAGGAGTGTTCAAATGGAATACATAAACCCACGTTGTAAACCTTCCTTCTAGGTGTATCTTCACTGACTTCATTTAGTTTACTTGAAATTGACCAGTAAGCATTGTCAGTGTCTTATAATAACGATCCAGAGGTCGTTAAGACCATAACCCCGAGACCAAACCACAAGTGGTTGGTTATAGCGACCGGGGCCGGGTTATAGCGACCAGGGCCGGGTTATGTGGACAGTGTTGTGGAAGTAACCGTCAGGACAACACTCGCCCGCGTCAGCTGTCACCTGCTGGAGACCTTTTGGTTCACGGCACGAGGGACTCTTCACGCTCTCTCCACCTACCATAAACAAGGGAGGAGAACCCTCGGGCAAACTTCACCTGATATATATAGAAGATATCCTAGAGCCATGACTGAGGCGCAGCTGCAAGAGTACACTCTCCGCTGTGCTAAGGCTGTAGGTATATGGCGTTATTTATTTATATATTTATTTAGCAGTACCCGGCCACAGCAACGTTCCCTGTTCCCCAGTCCTCCCCACCATTCCCCACTCACCCGTGTCCTCGGCCTCCCAACCATGCCAGATACGAGATACCGGCTCCCTGCCTTCTCAGGGAGCCGGTCGGCCGAGCGGACAGCACACTTTATTTATTTTTATTTATGCATATACAAGAATGTACATAAGGAATGTGAGGATACAAATATGGTAATTACAGTCTTGTAAAGCCACTAGCACGCGCAGCGTTTCGGGCAGAACTTAATACATAATAATACTTAATACACAAGTCCAGAACACTGGACTTGTGATCCTGTGGTCCCGAGTTCGATCCCGGACGCCGGCGAGAAAGAATGGGCAGAATTTCTCTCACCCTATGCCCCTGTTACCTAGCAGTAAAATAGGTACCTGGGTGTTAGCTGTCACGGGCTGCTTCCTGGGGGTGGAGGCCTGGTCGAGGACCGGGCCGCGGGGACACTAAAAAAAAAAAAAAAAGCCCCGAAATCATCTCAAGATAACCTCAAGATAACCATTCCCCACTCCACCATCCCCAATTCCTTCCCACAATGCCCCACTCCCCTGTCCCTTTGTCTTCCCCACCATTCTCCATTCCCCCATCCCTATCATCCAAAACTCCCCCTTCTCCTCGTCCTTCCCAACCATTCCCCACTCCCTCATTCGATGCCTTCCCAAGTGATCTGATGTTCCCATCACTGAAATATATGAAAAAGTTAAAAAATTAAATGAAAATATGAAAAAATAAAATAAATGATACGAAATAAATATATGGTAAACAACACAGTTCAATTCCAATGCAATTCACACAAAATAAATAAATCAAAATCTATGAAAATTAAATTTATCAATGCAATCAGAAACAATGAAATGAAATTGTAACATATTTAGTATAGCATGTGTGTTGCTCTTACATGCAACAGATGGTGCTGTTTTTCAAGAAAAGCATAGTTTTACCTGTCACAGGTGTGGCATCTATGCTTATACTTAAGAAATGAACGGTATGGTAAACAACACAGCTCAATTCCAACACAATGTCACAAAATAATTAATTAAAAAATTAAATAAATCAAAATCTATGAAAATAAAATTTTTCAATGCAATCGGAAACATTAAAATGGAATTCGTGACATATTTAGCATAGCGTGCATGATGCTATTATTTGCAACAGATGGCGCTGTTTTTTATAAACACATGTTCTTACCTGTCAGAGGGGTGGTATCCATATAGTAGATATATAAAAAGACACGCCTATTCGAATGCAACGTTGTCAAAATTTCAAAGCAATCGGTAAAGAGGTTTCGTGTACCAACAAATATCGGAAGTCGACGACACCATCGGATGTCGAGTCGCATTTTTCGATGAAATTTACATCGTAACTCGAAATTATCCTAAGTAGGGGCAATCGTATGTCGAGGTGCCACTGTATATGTAATGACATGGCCCTAGATGCCATGGAAGACAGACAGAATGGTGATGTTTTGTCAAAATACACAGATTTTGCAAAAGCCTTTAACAAATGTGCCTATGGTCAACTGATCAACCAGGCTGTGACTCATACGTCAGGCTGCAAGCAGCCGCGTCCAACAGCCTGGTTGATCAGTCCAGCAACCAGGAGGCCTGGTCGACGACCAGGCCGCGGGGACGCTAAGCCCCGGAAGCATCTCAAGGTAACCTCAAGGTATGGTGTTATTACACACAAAATGCGCACATAAGGAATTACTGGAAAAGTAATTCTTTTTGTGTACAGTTTATGAAAGTATATATTTTGGTGATGGAGTTGTACATTTTCGCAAAACTACTGATATGCATAACATTTTGATCAACTGGTTCACCACTTTTAATTTGTTTCAAATATACCATATTGTATTTTCTAGTTGATAGTTATTTTAATTGGTCTTTGATATTTCAGGAGACGGAGACAGAGAAATTGACTGCCCGTGTGCAAGCACTTGCATCAGGCTGTTTCGACTCATTTGAAGATGATGATGTTTCTGACAAAGAATTTACAAACCTTATAAATGAAAATAAGAAATTAAAATACCGCATCAACATTCTTAAGAAGGTGAGGTGCATATTAATGAATTTAAACCATTTAGTTTTTGGAATTAATTTAATTTGTTTAAGGTTTAAAATTCAGGTACACGTTCCTGAAGAACAAGAAATTCAATTCAAGTTCAAGTATGTTTATTGAGACAAGAAAAAATACATCTCAAAGGGATAGAGTAGCTTAGGCTCTTTCTACCCCCTCTACTTCAAGTCCCTCAAGGGGTGCACAAATTCAGTGAGTACAACTACACAAATCACAATTCAAGAATCCCATTTAACATTGCAGGTTAATACAGTAAGCACAGCATATAATTGTTACACTCTGGGGGCAAAATTCTTGTAGCTCCCAAGTATACTGTCTATCATACTGTTATCACACATCAAAACAATTTGATGTGGCAAATGACACTACTTATTTCCTTATTTCTATAGTTATCAATAAGTTGACACTCTAATACTTCATGTTCTAAGGTGTGGGCGTGCGGTATACTACATAATTTACACTCCTTATCTTTTTCACTGACATCAACACCGTATTGCCAGATATATTTGTATCCTAATCTTAATATCGTGTAAATTGAATCCTTCCAAGTTGACTTTCCTCTACCATAGGTGAAAGACAAATTTGTATTTATTATTGAATAATTCTTAAGTGTGTTACTACTGTCCACCATTGCCATTCTCTCTACCATTTCTTCACCCTCTTGGATCATCTTGATTCTTGTTTTCATTTGTTTCAAGGTTATCTGACATACATCATCAACAAGAGTTTTTTCCGTGGCTCTCTTCACTATCTCATCAATTACCTCATTCAACAGTATTCCCACATGTGAAGGGATCCACATGGATCTTACTTTATACCCAGTTTTTTCTAATTTCTTAACATTCTCTCAACACTCTTATCACAATATTCTGGTATACTGGGCATCTGCTAATTAAAGACTCCAATGCTCCTCTACTGTCAATAAAGAAGCAAGCATTTTTACCACATTTGACTACTTCCTGTAATCCTGCTAATACACCTTGGAGTTCAGCCTGCGTTGAAGAGACATTGTCAGTTAAGCGGCGTCCAATAACAGTATCTGCAGTGCCGATGTCAGTGTACTCCCTGATCAGGACTCCACATTCTGCCTTCCCATCCGTAGCAACTGACCCATCATAATATACATGTAGTGTTTTTTCTGTAGGTAATTTTCTAATTATACAATCATATGTTGCCCTTAGCTCTCCTATTTCATACATACTTTTTTTCTTTTGCAAGGGAATAATTACTGCATTCCTTACAGGTGTGTATAAATATAATGTCCAAAAGCCTGGCGTGAATCCCAACAGCAAAGCCTAAAGTCGGCAAAAGTTACCCGTGAGAGCACAAAATCAGTAAAATGTGCATACTCGTTCCATTTTTCTCACCTTAACCCTTAAAGTGCGCATCACATCATATGACGTGTTGGACGTTGTTCCAGTCAACTGCGCATCACGTCATATGATGTGTTGGAGTACTACGCAAGATTTAAATGGCCCGCGGATACACGGGGTTCACCACACCTTCATCAGGGCTCTTGTAAACAGACGCCATTTTTTTTTTAAATCGTGGGCAAAACTCCCGGGTGTTATTGGCCTCAATATTCAGTGAGCAACCAAGCCTGACGCACGCAGCATGAGCTAACAGCACTGCTGTTCAGCTTGTGACCACAGCATCGCCTAAAAATGACAAAATATACTTGTTCATGCTATTATGTAGCGATGATATTATTACAGAAGACCCCTGACTGTGATAAAACTGACCAGGGTTCTGATAATAGCAGGATTGTGGTGATATTTAGCGCTGTGCACCATGGAGGGAGGAGTAATGCTGTGGGAGGGAGGGTGGTGGCGATGTCTTCCGACGGTGTGGCCCCCTTTAATTGACTGTACTCAGCATACCAGCTTAGTGGTTCGCTATGGTGAACACAAATGTAGATACTTGCATATAACGTGTGTATAGAGGGTATAAACAGCAAGAGAAGGTTTGGAGCCGCCATTTTGGTGAGGGCGGTGGCGTCGTCTGCACGACGCTACCGTGCAGACGATGGTGTTGTTTACTGGTTACCACGATGGTCTTTGAGCACCTTACCAGTTTATTTGTACAAGTATGGTGAATAAAACAGGTAGATATTTATATATGATGTGTGTATATAGCGTAATAACACCACACAGTATTGTTGGAGGAGAAATATTAGTGCGTCTGGCCTTGAGGGCGGCAGCCATCAGCTGACTGTGAGAGGCCCTACGTCTTTGTGCCTTTACTCACCATTCAAGCTTAGATGTACAGTTATGGTGAACAAAACATGTAGACACTTGTATATAACATCTGTATATAGTGAATTATAGCAAAAACAGTATTGTGGGAGGAGAATGTGGGTGTCAGATGACTGGAGGGAAGGCGGGAGTGGCTGGCTGGTACACGGCAGTCACTCCTCGTTACTTTTTGACTCATAATAGCTACTTAGTGGTTCGTTATAGTGAACAAAACATGCAGATACTTATATATAACCTGTGCTTATAGTGTAATAACAGACAAAGTATTTGTTCACTGATTGATGAACATAATTGAATCAACAATATGCACACCATATTTTTGAGTACAGCAATGATTCACTCATTTTATTATATAAATATATCAAACTACACACTATTGAATAATATTACAGGAAAAAAACTATGAAAAACCAATCAGAGACATTGAAATAATTAGGTAATTATCTCTTTGTGGCAACTCCGGCCTGACAGCTGGCGAGCAACAGACCGCCTGGGTCGCATGCTGAGTCAGCGCCTATAATTTGCCATATAATTATTATTAATTAATAATAACTTCCCCACCCTATAGCGGGCAATATATGCCATTTACGATTTTTTTAATATTTTTCCCGTGATCAGTGAACACAAATTAACAGGTTAGGAAGAAAAAATAATTTTTTTTTTTTTTTTTTAAAATGACATGCGCCTGTGGGGATGACAGGATATTAAACCCCGAGCATGTTAAGGGTTAATTCTCGTGCTACATCGCTCGTTTTGGTATCATTGTGTTTGCAATTAAATTCCCTACAGATGTACTGTATATGAATATAATGTACAAAAGCCTGGAGTGCCTCCCTGCGGAAAAGCGTAAAGTTACCCGTGAACGAGCACCAGTTTGTATACTGCAACCTAATGTGTATACTTGTTCAGTTTGATTACATCAATTTTCGTATTATGTCTTTCATTTTGGTATCAAATTGTTCACAATAAAAAGGTGCGTATTTTAAAACTAGTCCCATAATAATAGTGCCTCAATGCCTCCCTAAAACTGGAATTTTAACAAATATTTTAATTCTGGAAGCTCATCATCACAATTATTTATATCTTTCCAGTGTTCTGACAAATTTTTGTGTTACATCTTTCATTTTGGTATCAAATTGTTCGTGACGTAAAGGCGCGCATTTTAACCCTTAACCCTCAAACCGCGCATATCATATATAAATGATATCAGTGACAAAACTGAAACCGCGCACATCATTTATATATGATTTCGTGTCTAGCGCTATAATTTAAACTCCCTGCCTGGGATAGGGGCAGCTATAGTACAGCCACGACCGATAGTTGCCAGATGCCACCTAGAAAAAAAATCCAGGCCAACATTCTTGGGTGTTACAGCGACAGTATTGAGCAAGCCACCAAGGCTGGTGCACGCAGCACGAGCTCACAGCACCGCTGTTAAGCTTGTAACCACAGCATCGCCTACAAATACCATAGTATATATGATACTGCTATTATTTAGCAGTGATAGTATTACTGAAGCCCCCTGACTGTGATAAAACTGACCAGGATTCTGATAATAGCAGGATTGTGGTGATATTTAGCGCTGTGCTCCATGGAGGGAGGCGTAAGGCTCTGCGAGGGAGGGTTGTTGCGTCTCTTCTGACTGTGTGTGGCCACCATTTATTGACTGCACTCACCATACCAGCTTAGTGGTTCGATATGGTGAACACAAATGTAGATACTTATATATTACGTGTGTATAGAGTGTGATAACAGCGAGAGTAGGAGGTTGGGAGCCGCCATTTTGGTGAGGGAGGAGCGTCGTCTGCACGTCTTGGCATGGTGTTTACTGATGGCCACTATGGTATTTGGGCACCATACCAGCTTATTTGTTCAGGTATGGTGAATAAAACAGGTAGATACTTATATATAATGTGTATATAGCGTAATAACACCACAAACAATATTGTTGAAGGACAAATATTAGTGTGTCTGGCCTTGAGGGCGGCCGCCGATCAGCTGACTGTGTGAGTAGCTACGTCTTTGTGGCCTTTACTCACCATACAAGCTTAGATGTACAGTTATGGTGAACAAAACATGTAAATACGTATATATAACGTCTGTGTATAGTGAATAAATACAGAAAGAGTATTGTAGGAGGTGAATGAGGGTGAGTGAGGTGGTGTTGAGGGAGGGAGTGGCAGTGAGTGGCTCGCTGGTGTTTGGCGGTCACTCCTCGTTGCTTTTTGACTCACAAGACCAACTTAGTAGTTCGTTATGGTGTACAAAACATGCAAATACTTATATATAACCTGTGTATATAGTGTAACAACAGCAAAACTATTTGTTTATTGTTTTATGAACATCATAATTGAATCACTAATATGCACACCATAATTTTGAGTACAGCGATGGTTCACACATTTTATAATATAAATATACCACAATTCACTGTATGGAATATTACTACTGCAAAAAACTAAGAAAAAATCAATCAGAGACATTGAAATAATTAGGTAATAATATATTTGTGGCAACTGCCGTCTGACAGCTCGGGCGAAGTAGACCTCATCTGGCGAAGGCTCTGCCAACGCCCCTTTTTTGCCACACTTCCCTACCCTATTGCGGCTAAAATATGCCACCTACAATTTTTTTGTTATTTTTTCCGTGATCAGGGAACAAAAATGAACACTTCTATAAGACGAAAGAATTTTTTGGAATTTTTTTTTTTTTGTTGCG